GTAGCCTTTACACACTAATAACCCACTGGTTTAGAATAATAATAATAATAATTCTGGGACATTTCAGCCAGCAGCATCTGTACATCCCTGAGAGAAACTGCACTGGCTGAAATGTTCCTTCACTGTGTGGGAATCAGTCAAACTGAGTTGATAGAGAGTGCAAATTAGAAAAAAGACCAGCTTCCAAGACTTCAGCTCAACATTTAGTCCCATCAGCTGACAAAACAGGGCAGTAAATGTCATCTTATTAACAGATAACAGCCAAGGGGCTGATATTTCTTGACGCTTTTCCCTTTCATGTCCAATTTCCCCCCTCCATTTCTACCAAAGAGTGTATACATGTTTGAGTATTTAAACCCATGACACCCCTTTTCTTTGCAGTGATGGCTTCATTTCCCTCCTAAATCCCAAACTCTCTTCTATCCAGGCTCAGGGTCCGTCAACAGCTGGATTAATGTCAAGGAAACTCACTGTGTAAGTTATTTTGCTGTAACTGAGACGTTCACGTGCCTCTTAAGATTAAACCAAGTAACGTGTATATCTGTAACCACTGCCTTCACAAACACAGAGAACGTTAGAAAGTATTTAACTCTAAGAGATGCGCATTTATCAGTTTTAAATGGCAGTGTAGTTAACCACTATCCGCGAGCATGCAGTTGTTTAGTTTTAGCTGTTCTGACTTCATTTATCTTACTCCAAGGAAAGCCTCCTTAATCTATTAAAAACAGCCTGACATAATACAGATTTAGTTCAAAGTAAATTAAATCCAGCACGGATGCTTTTCCTCCCCCCGGGCTTTGACTAGCTACTCACACAAAGGTGAAGGAGTACTCGGCAGACAAAAGACAATCTGCGGGGCTATAAAGGTGGATGCTGGGAGGTGGAAATAACCAGATGTATCAGCACGACACTGCTTAATTCAATCACAGTACACAGGTGTGACCTCAACGCGAGCACGTTCCACGGATATTTCCCACGGATAGCTTTCCGCTCGCGAGCAATGAGGGATTTTCTGAGCAGCTGGCTAACTGTGGATTAGCACAGGCTAACTCGAGGCCTCGCCATGCGCCGAGCAAGGTAGCCGGGCCCGCTAGCACGCTAACCACGTTTGATTACCGTTCAGCCTCGGCTCACGCACGCAAGAAAATTCACCGCATCAGCACCTCATCGACTATAAAACACAACCACCTGTCGAGCTGTCATGAAAAAAAAACCCATCCATAACAACAACAAAGCAGAGCCGCAATCTGCTCTGTAATGGAGCTAATGCTAAGTTAAAATTCGCCCTCCGGCGGCGCCCATGATGGCAACATTCCCAGGCCGAACAAAACCCAAAAAGCAAAATTTCCTGCCTTCAAACAGGCCACATCAGTACACGCAAGGAGAGGGCGGCGTGGGAACCGAGGCGAGGAGCCGGAAAATGAGAGTACTCACCGAAATTAATGCAGATAAAAAACGGTTGTGAAGCCGAGGAATGGAAGCAAAGTGTCGAGTATCTGAGCGGCCCAAACAAAAAGACCTTCCCGTCAGGACTTCCGCAGGCTCCGCCCGCTGCGCATGCGCTTTTTAAAGGGGATTTCCTTTGAACAAAAACGTTTAATTTACTGATACAGAAAGCTTTTTCTTTGTTTGTTTGTTTTGAAATACATTACAGTATATTTATGTAGCTAACCCTTGCGTGGTCTTCCTGTTTTTGTTACTCAGCCAGTGTTAAGTTATTGTGTTATTAAATCAGTGCATCAATAACAATGTATGTAAAAATACATAACAGATGTTTACCACATACATGGTTCATATTTCAAATATGAAATGCTGCTTATTTTTTGTGATAAAATGTAACTGAATAACAGATGTGAGTGAAAAAAAAAACATGTTTATCTTGAAAAAATATAAATGAACTTGATTAGGAGCAGATTTATGTCAGTCTATACAACATAAACAGTCTGGATATGCATTTCTTGCACTTTATCCCTGTATAGCAGAGATGTCAAACATAAGACCTAAGGGCCAAAATCGGCCCATCAGACTCCAATTTGGGACCTAATTAACAGCACTGGAAAACATGAACGAAGGTGTAAAGTTTTATGTTTCATAAGCTTTATGTTTACTGATAACGATCTCCCACATGGCCATTCATGCTATGCCGAAATAATTAGATAATAGATTAAAAAACCTAACTGGTAGAAAGTTCCAATTTTTTCACTTACTACACATAGGGTAAAATGTGCCGGGATGCTGGAGCACAAACGAACAGCAGGCCATGCAGGGAGAGGACAGAGTGAAGGGAAAAAGTACCTCCATACCTTTATGGCATGAACACCACCTGTGTGATATAAATGCATAAGGCTTGAAGTCTCTGAAAATGTGTTAGTCGATTTGTTCTTCATGGAAAATCACCCAAAGGGAAGTATTCTGTGGCTAAAATAAAAAAAGAAACTAATTTCCTTTTGGTAAACAGTGAAAATAGCTCACAGACCCAAACACACTACATATAGGTTCATTTATTAATTTATCATATACACATATATGCACACAATAAACATATGATTGATATTTCCAGGTGAAATTACATTCCCTTTCATGTTCCCTACATATTCTAACATTTTTCCCTTTATCAGTGTCCGATCACACCAAAACCTCGATTTTTATTTTTTACTTTTGCACTGGTGTGTTTCTGGTCATTGTCCTGCTGCAGAACTCAAGTGCTCTTGATCTTCAGGGCATGAACTAATGCTCAGACATTCTCATTCAGGATTTTCTAGTAGAGAGCAGAATTCATGGTTCCATCAATTACAGCAACTCATCCTGAAGCAGCAGAGCAGCCCCAGACCATCACACTGTTGCTGTGAAGTTGTTTTATGTCTGATGTAATGGGACTCAAACCTTCCAGAAAAGTTCAGCTTTTGCCTAGTCAGTCCACGGGATGTTTTCCCAAAGGTCTTGGGAATCATGAGGATGTGTTTTGGGTACAGGGTGAAACGAGCCTTTGTGTTGCCAATTCAGCCATATTTGAGCCTTTTTAACATAATTATCAAAGAAATAATCCAACTTGCTGTGAGGCAAACACCATCACGCAGTGTTGGTGAATGAAATTCAATTACTGTACAAGTAATACTGTACAGCTTATGGATGCAACTTACCAACTAGCTAGCTAACTGCTGAATAAAGTATCACTCAAATGCAGTGTTTTCTAGTGCAGAAAAAACAAACAAAACACAGGATGGCAGCAAACAAAAAGCGTCAAAATGCAGAATTCAGAAATCACCCGAGGATAGTGCAGTTGCTACTTCCAGCTTTGATGCGCACGCACGCACACACACACACACACACAAATTCTGCTGTTCTAATTAAGTTTCAGCCAAAGACAAAAAACAAAACAAAAAAAAAAAACGTTGTATTGTTCCGATAAATCACAAGTGTCTGTGTTACATAAAAGTTTTGCCTTCAAATAATCCAGTAACCCAGTTAGAGCGTCTGTAGTGAGTAATCCATTACAAATGTTATTCTGTAAGCTCTTTAATTGAAATACTTCACCCTAAAAAAAAATTTTAATTTACTTTTATAAAAACTAATAAGATGCCAAATTACAGTTATTTATCTACATTCCTAAAGAAAATCATTTTCTTAGAGGTTGAATGTTGTGCTTCACTAATTTCTCACACTGTGCCAGGTAAACTTTAGTAATATAACATGACTTCAGTTTGTTATTTGCCTGATATACAGAAATATTTTAGTTATAGGCAAATATGGCAGAATTTAAGAAAGAAAAGAGAAAAAAAAGTATTTGTATTTATGATAGGTTTACGATGGTTGTGTGGAAGAGCAGAGCAGCAGCTGCTCAAATATGCAGAACCACCACACCACAGTCAAAGCCACTTATATCACATTTTTTCTCCATTCTGATGCTCTGTTTGGAGTCCAGCAGGTCGTCTTGACCACATCTACGTCCCTAAACATGCAGAGTTGCTGCCATGTGAGTGGCTGATTAGGCATTTCTTTTAATGAGCAGCACAACAGCTGTAGCCAGTGAAGATCATCCTTGTGGTGTGATCATCCTCGTGTACCAGTCAGCATGGCCTTAGTCTCTAAAGTGACTTTGAGTTCATCCTTAGTTTTACAGAGACAAAAGGTGGATTTTCTTTGCTTTATTAAACATAAATCAAGCATTCACGCACAAAACAAATCAATGCCTTCAGACAAAACCAAAGATCAAGTGGACGATCGTCTCACATTTATGGAAGCCTGTTTCCGCCACTTAAAAAAAAAAAAAAAAAAAAAAAAGATCCATAACTCAAAATTCCGAGTTATTTTCTCAAAATTCTGATTTATTAACTCAATATTCTGAGAAAAGCAACTCGAAATTTCGAGTTAGCGCTGCCAATCAGTAATCTACGTGAATGACGTCATTTCCTTGTTACCCGGAAGCTGAAGCCCTCAGCTACAAATGCTACAGCTAAGCTACCGGTATTACATCCAGTCGTGAATGCACAGATTGCTGAGTGTTTTCAGCCTGGCTTCACAAATGATGAAATCCCTGTGTTATTAGCTGAATCACATGGTGTTACTATCAGCAAACGTATTTGCAAAAGCACCAATTTGTTGGGATCCGTTTTTGAGTGCGCGGTCCTGCGCCATATGCTTCCGGGTAACAAGAAAGCGACCTCATTCACGTATATTTTTGATTGGCAGAGCATTTCCCATAACACAGAATAAATCTGAGATTACCGAAAAGCACCACTGAACGACACAGGAAATCATTCCTGCCTGTGGCCATCTCCCTGTACAACGCATCCACTTAACACACTGTTTGCTGCTACAACTACACATGTTTCTTTTCCAACTATTTATTTATAAGTGACTTATGTATGTATGTATGTATATATATGTATATATTGTACTATTCTTAGTTAGCGTATTGTCTGTCTTGTCTTAATGTTGGTTTAAAATGGAGCACTGTAACAAAAAATAATTTCCCCCAGGGATCAATAAAGTACTCTGATTCTGATAATCTAATTCAATCACAATGTTGATTCTTTGTGTTTAAAATTAATAAAAATGAGGAACACGTCTGCGGGCTGAAACCCACTCGAGTGGCCACAATTCTGGTTACATTTGGTAACAGAATAACTAAAAAAAGATATCTATAAAAGATTAAAAACTAACTGCACTGTGCATGTGGTGGACCACCACAAAAAAAGAAAAAGAAGAGAAATGATCATCGGACAGATTCTGTGCAAGTGAAACATGCAGTCTTAAATCAAAGGAAATTTGACTGCACAACAGCGTTAACCGTGTGTATTTGACTCAGTGGGTAGGTGTGACGTGTGCATCGCAGTGATTTGTGTTTAGCTTCTGAAATCTTAAATTCAATGATACAATAAAATCTGTAAAGGTGTTAAACACTGAAGTGGATTAAAAGCACCTTTGCCCCGCGGCTGGTATTTTTTGCTACTCTAAGTGAATTTCACCTGATATTAGCTAAAAATGATTAGTTTAAAATCTTTAGTTTGATTCAGTCTCAGATGTCCAAGGCCCACGGCTTGAAAGACCCTGGTTTGCTGGCTGGAACCTGGAAACAAAAAGAATAGGAATTAATGTGTAAAGTTTTGGTCTTCAAAACAGTTCTGCACACCATCATCATTCCCACAGGTATGAGCTTCCTGCCATCACTCACAGTGGCCTCTCATTAATATGAGCAGAATGTGCTTAAAGTTTATGTGACAGCTGAACTCCTCGACCTTTCCTGTCTGTAAGCATAAATTTACAGTTACAGGACCTGAAGTTTACAAACTGTCCCGTTTAGGCGAACTCCAGATTGTGTAGCTGACATGTGTAGTTACCTTCTGAGTGAATGGGGAGGCAGAGGCTAAGCAGGCCCTCTCTGGTGTTGCAGGGGAGTTTAGAGAAAAGGGTCCCTTCAAACCAGAATCGGAGCGAGCAGCAGCCACGGCGTCTTTGATGGCGAAGAACACCGAACTGCCCAAGAAGAGGGTGGGTTCTCCAATACCCTGCACAGGAGACGAAAATCAGCAACGCACCAAGTACAATAGAAAACTAAAAGACTGAGGTGTTTGGAAGTAATCTTCCTCCTTGTGTCTGACCTTTGAAGAGTAGATGGCGTAGGGGTTGTCAGAGTCGGGCAGCAGGTAGACGTTAAACTGCAGCGGCACATCGCAGACCGCCGGGATCTTGTACTGAGACGGTCCTCGAGTGTACAGCAGCCCGAAGGGAGAAAACTTCAGCTCCTCCAGAGTGTAGAGACCCAAACCCTGCATGAACGCTCCCTCAATCTGAGAGAAGGGAAGAAATCAAGGAGAGAGACGTTAATTACTACGCTCTGCTAAAAGTTGTTTTTTTACTTAACTAAATTCAGCTGTTCAGGTTTTAAAACACTGGGTGAAATGGGTGCAGCCACTTACTGAACCGTGCAAACGGGCTTGAGTATACATATCGACTGGGGGGGTTTGAACAGTTCTAACAAACCTGAAGGTCAGCTCAGGTAACTTTTGGCTCTGGACCTCTGGTTCCCCCTTTTTAAATGATTAAAATTGCCATGGTTTGGTTGCAGACAGCCCTCCGCGAACCTGGTTCTGCCAGAGTTTTCTCCCTGTTAAAAAGCAAGTCTTTTCTTTTCCATTTACACCAAGTGCTTACCCACAGTGGGTTGTTTGATTGCTGAGGGTTTCAATGCATTATTGTAGGGTCTTTATCTTACAATATAAAGCACCTTGAGGGGATTGCTGTTCTGATTTGGCACTATATAATAATTTGAACTGAATTACTTATTTGGTGTGACCACCTTTATTCTTCAGCACATTCTGAACTCTCTTAGGTTTGTCGTGTCTTTAATAAGGGTGGGTTTTAATGATGGATTCTGGCTTGGATAACGTGATATCAATTCATTAAAATCCTGAATCGATTGTTTTATACAAATGTATTTTGCCCAAAATTCCAGAATCTCAGGTGAAACGTCACAAAATTTTGACAACCACCAAACATTTAAAACGGTAAATGAGAGCAGCTACACGGGTTCTGCACAAAGACGTAAACACAAAGCGCGGACCCGCGGATCAAAATCAGTGAGATGTGGCTTTCTCACCAATGGCACGGACACGGTCGGGGCTGAAAGCCGACAGCTCGCTGATTCTGATGTTTTGGCGGGTCCGCGCTTTGTGTTTACGCCGATTCTAAAGCTGTTAGTTTGATCTCTCTCCAAACAATATTGACTGAACCAGCAGCAAAAGAAGATCCAAACTAAGCTTCACATAAACATCGTTTTGAATTCCCTCTGACTTTTACTGTTTTGCATCCACCACAAAAAAACAACAACAAAAAAAACAAACAAACAAAAAAAAACAACCCACACTTCATGCACAGCTCTCTCTCTCTCTCTCCCTCTCTGTACTTCAAGAACAGTTTCCCGTCTATCCCTGAAATCTGTTTTCTGCATTATTCGCTTGCTTGTTACGCACAAGACTGTTGTTTACAGCGCTGTCGGCCGATGTTTTTTTCCTTTTCCTTTTACTCACTTCCAAAAAGAAAACCTAATTTCTGCTGTTCTATACTGAACAGATTTAAACTTTGTAAAATTATACAAAATGCAAAACGCTCAGCCGTGTCTCTAATAAAACCACTGTAACTTCAGAGGTAATGTTCATAAGCTGATTAATGGTTTTCTTTCGTTTTTGATGTACTGCAGAATATTTTTATAAAATCCCAGGCCAGGAAAATTGCCCTCATGTTTTTCTGTGTTTTATCTTCAGCTACTTTGACACAAAGGCCTCTGCTGTGACGCTCACACCTTTGATAAAGTCTTGCGAGTGTCAGCTTCCTTTTTATAGATACAAAAATATGTAAATGTACTGATCTGAATTATAATATTTCTGACTGTCTGAGGCAAAATTTCCCAGATTCAAATCAAACTGAATCTAATCGATTCAGGACCTTTTGAATCGGAATCGAATCGATTCTAGAAATCAGTGACGATACTCAGCCCTAGTCTTTAAGTAGTCTTCAGGAATAGTTCTCCAGGCTTCTTGAAGGACATTCAAAGCTCTTCTTTGGATGTTTCTGCCTTTTGTTATGTTCTCTGTCAACATGATCCCACACTGCTTCAATAATGTTGAGGTCCGGGCTGTTGGGAGGCCAATCCATGACTGATAGTGCTCCACTGTGTGTTTTTCTGTGCAGGTATGATTTTACTGCTCTGGCAGACCTTCAGAAAGCCCAGAGAACTATTTCTCAAGAACACAAATTCTGGCTCCAGTCTTTTTCATGCTGTTTACATTGTGTTGGTTAATGACACTGAAACAACTGCCAGGCAGTCATGCAAAGATGTAAAATGGCCGTAGGTCTGACCTGGCCCATGTCCACAGATGGGTTCACACTTTTGCCGATATCCACTACGATGTCAGTCCTCAACGTCTGCAAGAAGCACAAACATGAAAAGAAAACTAAAAAAGGATTCCTTTATTTTCTGGCAATATTCCTTCTGTTTGCAGCAAGTGGCATTCAGAGTCGAGACCGTTCAGACAGACCCTGTATTCTCCGGTGAGGCAATCCAGCTCCACCTCAGAGCAGCTCACTCCGTAGGTGTAGTAAGCATAAGGCTGGCCCTCCATCTTGTCCCAGTCGACGTAAAGGTCAGGACCTCTGAGGACAAACAGGAAGATACAGTCACTTACTGCTACTTCATCCATTATGGGTGTGGGGGGAGATTTCTATCGTACTTGTAAAATCCAGTCGCTGACAAACTGATCTTCTCCATAAATGCTTTATTGGCCTGCGTTCAAAGAAAAGTTATGTTATTTAAATGCTCCAAATCTAACAACATCATTCAAGGATTTTCGTACCCAGCTCTCCCAGGTTCCTTTGGGGTTCTTCTTTCTGATTGGCTCCAGTCGCTGGTACAGAATCTGGCAGGCATCTTTGACCGCCATGCCGTTAGCATCGGTACCAAAGGACGCAGCAGATGGGCAAGTGTTGGGAACGGTGTTGGTGCTGGTTTCACTGATGTAGATCTTTGAGGGCGGGATGTGAAGCTCCCGGCTCGCAATCTAACAAACAGAAAAAGCCAGACGCCGAAAGGCATAAATCTGGTGTTTTTCTGCTTTTTTGTAATAATACTGAAGCACAAATCTGGCCAAAGACAGACCAACAAAACGAAAACAGCAGTGACACAAACTTTACAGTATTTTTAATGTTCATCCTCTTAACGTCAATATCTGCAAATGTCTCAAAACTACAACCAAACCCCCCCAAAAGCCAAAAATAGTTTACTGAACATTTCTGATACATAAGCTAATAATTAACACCTGCTCATTGCAGCCACAGATGTCCCGTGGTGCGACCTGGCCGGTGAAATTTGCACCTCAAACAGTGCAACTCTCGGGAACTATTTTCAGTGGCGGATAAATTAGAATTGGTGCCCTTTTTGCATTTGTGGCAAAACGATGGTGGAAGCGAGCATAACGGGAGGTAAACCTTTGTAAGCAGGTAAAAATAAAAATCGTGTCTACCGCTTCACCAGTGTGCTGCCTTCACATGTTTTCAGTGCTACAGTTATCTCACGCAGATTATCCAAATATAATGGTGTTAAACATTAAACTGGAAGGCTCTAATGTAATATGCAGCAATACCGTTAAGCTGTTGTTGTTTTAATCCACCCAACAATTGTCTTCTTATCTTTTAAATAGCATTAAAATAAATGCATTTATCGTGTGATTCTTTAAGTCTTTTTATGCTTATTTCTTGATTTTGATGCACAAAATGATTTTATTATTTAACTATTTTTAACATATTCCTAATTTATACATCTCGACGTGCTATTTTTTTCCCCCATGTACTCCATTTATATATTTACATTGTACATTTATATAGCTCAACATGTGTTTCTTATTATATTTATAAGATTTTTACATGCATACATTAACACTAATTAATTTAAGTTAAACTTTTGGAGTGCATTTTTTTTTTTTTAAATACACAAATACATGATATTTTGTTATATACACATTTTTTTGTCGTTTCCAGTGAGGTGCTTCACACAGTACCTGCTGCATTTTCGTGTGGACTCCCTGACCCATCTCCGTCCCACCGTGACTCACCAGAACCGAACAATCTTTGTAGATGTGGACCAAAGCTGCAGCCTGCCACAAACAAAACTGAACTAAACAGAAGCAAGCGGCTACTGAGCTGACTGCATGCAACCTGCAGTCGCGCAGCCACAGCAGTAACAACTACAAAGAAAAAAAAAAATACCCAAAAAACACAAACACAAAGACCCTGAAACAGGCTCTTGTCTTTACACACAGGACTTGAGCAGAATTGGCTCTTTGGCTTCTGTAAGCTGTAAAAATCTAAGATATATTCTTGCAGTGTGTCATTCTGCAAGACTTCACGGAGTCATTGTGACATCACAGGGTGTCATGCAGTGTTGTGCAGCTCTCTCCATGCCCTTTTGCATGATCTATTACTAGATATGGCTTCTTTTTGTATGGCGCCAACAATGAAGGCAAAGTTTTTGCTGACTTTCACATCAGCAAAAACTTGTGAACATGAGCACAAAACTCTGGAAACTCCAAGCCTGCGGGGACAGAATAAGATCAGACCTGATTAAGGAAGCCATCTGAAAAGGCGATGCCATATTTGATGGGGATGATGGAAATCCCCCTCTTCTTCCAGCGGTTCTGCTCGTTAAACTGCTCGATGGCGCCACGGCGGGCACTGTAGTCAGACCGGCGCTTGCACTCTTCCCAGCAGCGCAGCAAGTTCTCGGGGTTGAACTCAAACTTGTAGTGGGTGGTCGAAGGGCCCCTGTACATGTTCATCTCCCGAATCTGATGAAGGATTTTAAACATTTAATTAGATGCTGTTTTGTAAACCCGGTCGAGCTCGTGGCAGGAGAGGTTGGGGCGGAACCTTGTCGGCGGGGCATCCCAACACCATGGCAACGTCGTTGATCATGTTCTCCACGATCAGCAGGCCCTGGGGCACCCCAAAGCCCCTGAAGGCAGTGTTTGATGGCAGGTTGGTCTTGCATGCGGTGCCGCGACCTCGCAGATTGGGGATGTTGTACGCGGTGTCCATGTGGAGGACCATCTTCTCAGCAACCTGCAAACACCACAAAATCCACTCTTACGTTCTTTGGCGTTTCACTTACATTTATCTCCAGTAGCATTTCCTTTTTCCACTTACCAAGGGAGACTCATCTACAGTGTTGCCACTGTTGGCAAAGAACTGGAAATCTGCAGCAACAATCTTCCCATCATTCATGAAACCCACCTGAAACAAACAGCAGTCAACTCCCAGGATGATGACGAACACAAGTCAACAACGCCTTTAAAACTAAAAAGTTTAAAGATCTTTTGGTCACAACCTTTCAAAACTGAAGATGAAATCCTTTAAAGCCCACATTTGTAAACCACCAAGAAAGTAAGAAATGTAAGACAACTCTTTACAAAAAATACTGGAGCTACCGCTCAACCTCCTAGTAGATACACCTATGGTATTGATTTAAAACTCCTACATCGCTTCTTTGAGTTACTGGAGTCACAAACTTAGGCATCCACGTTTCACGCCTGCTCGGTAGAGTGCAGACAATACCACATCAGCCTTTACAGCTGAGAGACAAACACAAACCTCTCTGCAGACTCTGCTGCACCTTGGTTCTGTCTTACATCACACTGTTTGAATAATTAAAGCGCTGGAAGGCTCCCCTCACACAAAACACTCAGAATCCTAACCAATAAATAACGATACCAAGTATATTTGAAATTCAAAAGTAATTTTCTTAAAAACTAAATAAATAAAATAAAATCAAAACAGTGGGCAACACCTAAAAAATTAGAAGGTATATCCTGTGCGCTTGGTTGTACCTTATATTTTCCCAGGGTGGGATGTCGGCCTCCTGTAATGAGCATGTCCTCGCCGCGCTCCAGGACACAGCGGACGGCACGATTGGTCCTTTAAACAGTTATAATAAAAGAAAACAAAATGTAAGAACTTTCCAGCTTCTTTTTCTTTATTAATGTCTCTTCAGGCCTCAGTAACACAGGTCCAGAGAGTGAAGGTAAGCGACCCTTAGCAACTGCCAGCTGTTAAGGAAATTGCTGTATTCCCCACTAGTTGGCCAGTGGCTACAGAGATGGTGCTGAAACAAAAACCTACTTGCAATTGCTTTGGTAACGTAGACCTTTTACTTTGAAAGTGAACGGCCTCTGTCAGATATTTGTGGCTTGGAGGTTACCGACCAGCCTGTGTGAAAGACTTGCTAATCCTTTGGACTCACTTCCAAGCAGCCACCGAGGTGATAGAAGCCAAAACTGAGGTTCTGGTGACCTTCCCTCCAAAGGCTCCGCCCACTCTTTTGACATGACAAGTGACTCTGTTGGATGCGATGTTCAATGTCTCGGCAACAGCATCCTGCACAGAGAGATCCAACCCACCTGCAGCTCTGACTTGTCTTTTATGTTCAACATGTGAGCACTGGTGAGCCATTACTCACTGAGTAACTCTCAGGTTCACTGACACACACCTGCTCCGTTTACCTGAATCAAAGTTGGCCACTGAGTGGAGATGTAAACGTTGAACTCCATCTCCTCGCCGACGGGAACCACCAGCATGCTCTGCGTCTCCATGTAGAAATGCTCCTGGCCTCCAATTCGAATCTCCCCTGAGGAGAAAACATGCAGAGTTTAAAAAGAAAAAGCAGACGTTGTTCTCAAACAACTTTTACCTTCATAAACCTTGTCGACAGTTTTAAAGGCTTCAGTCACATCTCCCCTCTGAAGCAAACGTCGTGGTTCAAAGTAAGATGACTTCTCGACGGCTTCCTGTCACAAAAAGTGTGACGTTGAAAAGTTTACCCATCTGCACTTTTAGCATTTTCTCCAGTGAATTATCAAAAAACAGAGCAAAACACCCCGATGTAAAGGAACAGAAACAGTTTTACTACTCAAACTATAGTATTCCCCATGATGCAGATGCTCAAAGGGTAAAAAGTCAAACCTCGATGGTGAAAATGGGATCGGGCAGGTCTTCATAGCTGATCTTTACAGCTGCTGCTCCTCGTTTGGCGTGCGCCTTTGTGTCGGCGACCACCGCACATATCATCTGACCGATGCACGACACCTGCAGATATGGTGAGTGTCGTAATTTCCCCATTAGTGTTTAAATGTGAGTAAAGAGCAGCGGGTGCGCAGAAGGCTCTACCTCGCTCTCGGCAAGCAGCTCCTCATTATAGCCGCAAAATGTGCGGACTTTCTTCCCGGGAATGTCTTTGGTTGTGATGACGTCGACAACGCCGGGAAGCTGTAGGGCTTCGCTCACATCCAGCCCTCTGTCAGACAGCAAACATCAAAATATCAGCATGAAAACACCAGAAAGAGCCTCTTTTTCCTAATGTAAATGCACTAAAGCTCGTTATTTAAAGATAATTAAACTCAAAAGCTCCAAAGTGAAGTTTGTCTATGTTGACTAGGGTGGGGCGATTGGATGAACATTAGTCCAATCGCTCATGCAAGTTAGTCGTGTTTGAGAAGTTTACCAGGGTGATTTATTTATTTGCCCATGAGTGAGTTTGCTAAGAATGATGGAGCTAATAGAAGCAGTCAACAGAACCCCCCCCCAAAAAAAATAAAAATTTGTGTATTTTTTTTTAAAAGCACCCTCTTTCAACTGCGAGCCACTGCACCCTCTTCAGAGTGCGCCCAAATGCTTGTTGATGGAGCTGCAGAAGCTGGTGATAGCCAAGCATACTCAGCCGGATGGTGGACACGTACATACTCATGTAAGTTAGTCGTGTTTGAGTGCTTTGCTCGCACTATACGTCTGCACAAGCAGCACACTGCTTTGATTACATCCTTTTTCATCTGGCCCAAACACCCCCCCCAAAAAAAAAACAAAACAAACAAAAAAAACAAAACAAAACAAAACAAAACAAAAAACATTGGCAACTTTTTTCTTTAGTGTTTTTTTTTTACGAATTAACACGACTTGACGCGATTAACAATTAAGCCAGCTGGAGCGCAGACTGACTCAAAATCCCTGAAATGTCTCCGTCAATGCATTTTGGGAGTTCGTCCGTTCTGTGCTCCAGATGGGTCGAGTGTGTTTAAAAAAAAATTTAATCGTGATGACCATGCATGATTACATTGCTCCGCCCATCAAAAAGTCTGCGCATACGCGAATATATCGCCCACGATTGCTGGACTCACAATTGCCGGTTGGAATTTTTTTTTTTTTTTTTTTTTTTTTTAACATATCGCCCAACCCTAATGTTGATTGCAAAAGTGAAACCAACAGTAATGCGCCAAACACTGCAGTTCCTCTAGTGACCACTTGAGGCGGACTCCAAGCATGAGTCAGTCGCCATAGAGTCCCATGTTAAAATGCCTGACTTTACAGCAGAATTAAACATCTTTACAGCCAGAGACAAAATGTAACTTTACTCCTTCATAACTGCACAGGCATGATTTTCTTTAACATCCCATGTCCAGAATATCCACCATCCCTCCTCTGCATATGTGCAAACCATCATCTGGCCCCCTGATGCACTGCCTTGTAATCTCAGTGACTCCCAATGAAAGTATTAACATCGCCAGATCTGCTGTCTGTCTTTTTGTTAGTGACACCATCTGTCTTTGGAAACAAAGCATGACCAGGAGCACACACACAACAAAACCTAGAGGTCATCGCTCAGCTATCGCCATCTGGTGGTCTTTGGATAGAATACAGGTTTTTAGATAGCTTTGCATTGCTGATGTGGAAGCCATGTTTTAAGGCTAACGTTTTAAAGGTTAAGCAAATCTGTGTCCATCTGGCTGCATTGCTCTGCCTTTCCTGTCACTTCCTGCAGCTGATCATGGTCTTCATGTTTCCTGTATGCATCCATTATTTTGCATTTCTATTGTTCGCGCAAATGTATGTCAGTCCACAGCCCTGTGGAAGTCCTGCTGACACAGCAGGAAACCTATTATGCAGTGCAAGCAACAGAAGAATCTGCTTTTTAGTGCTGCCTGTGTGAAGGGACCATAATTACTTGTGATCATGAACAAGACACCTCCTGTGGCCATTAGAGGAACTGTAGTTTTTGGCTTTTCCTTGTTGGCGTTGCCATTTGGTGCTTACGTGATCTTAGCGTGTGGTCGGGAGCTGGTGACCACCATGAGGAAGAGCTCGCCCTCTATCTTTGGGAGGTCATCGCAGTACACAGCCTCGCCTGTGGCCTGGCTGATGGCGGACCGATGCATCATGGGACGCCCTACTGCATCGTGGTTACTCTGGTCCTTTGAGACAGGCTGATGAGGAAGAGGAAGTAGTCGTGTTTATGAAGAAAGCACATCTGTTTTTGAGTTAAACCATTCTGAAAGCCATTTTGTAACCTGGAACTCCTGCAGGCCAGGTTGGATCTCTCTGGGTAAAGGTTGTATCTTCTCAGGGACCTCGTCTGTGATCACATTCTGTAAAAACACATTTAAGTCAGTTGGATTTACCACATTACCCTGCACTATTTCTTTAAAGTAGATCTCTTTTTACCATTGCTTTCAGCTTGTGCAGGACCTCCAGGTAGAATTTGAAGAGCAGACTAAGAGTCAGAGACCTACGAAACTCCACCTTCCCTCCTGGAGCTGAAGGAGGGAGGGCCAGCTCTTCCAGAAGGATGTCGTAGGCTTGGCCGAGGGTCTCGTCGTCCCACGGCCTGAAGGGAAGAAAAGCAAATCAGCACAAGGTGAGAAAGTAATGAAGTAAAGTAGAGAGCGGAAATTGAGGGGAAAACAAAGAGACCTCCTGATGATGGCCTGGCAGGTTTTGGCTGCACTGACTGTGGTCGGGCCCATCCCTCCGTAGTAAATACTGACATCCTGAACCACTCTGGAGCTCTCTGAGAACATCACCCTCATCCCGGCTGTCACGGTGGCGAAGGAGGCCTCCTTCCTCGGTGCGTGGCGTAAAGCCTGAACAAACTCCCCCTGCAGGTGAGACGAGGTGCAGCACTAGTAATCGTTTTCTCTTTAGCACATAATCTATGACAGACGCTCACAGCCACACAGTAAAATATGTGTCACCAGTGTGGAGGAGACGCAGCATGTTCTTACAAATAAAGAATAAAGTTGGTGTACCTTTCTGGAAAAGGGGATGAAAACGGAGACTACAATCTCCTCCGGCTGCAGGATGACTTTCCCAAATCCCACGAAGAAGTCCTGATTCAGGGGAACCTCTCGTCTTCCTCCTGGTGAATTCATAGAGTTCAAGTTGCAGTTTGTTTATTCATCACTCATCTTGATATTTTTTTTTTTTGACTCACCGCTGGAAATCACGCTGACTTTGCAGTTGCCGGCAGCCAAAATGGGATTCAGGTCCGAGTTGGGGTACGCACTCACGATGTTTCCTCCCAGAGACTAAATGCAGACACATTAAACTTGTACTCAGAAACGAGAGGAGATTATAATCAGTTTAAGTTTTAATTCAAGGCTTTGAGTTCTAGTTTCTTTGAAGCCAGCCCTCTTTTTGTCTTACAGTGCCCCCTCATGCCCACAGCGAAGATATTTCTTCTTTGTCTAGCTGATTTTTTGCATGACGTCTGACCCATGAGGAAACGTTCACTATATTGCAGTAGTATTTCTCATCATCTGCAGTAGACCTTCACTGGCTGAGCTAGCATGAGAGCAGCTGTGCCCTCAGCTTTGGCCACTCAGGCACCATTTAAACAATGTTAGACCGATGCATGAAACGTAACATCTTAGGAGCTTTTTACTTTCAGTTCTATGGGAAATTTAAATGTGGTGTTGGTTTTTTGATGTTGTGCAGCAACTGTTTGACTGGTTATTGTTAACCGGTTCCTGACACCCCAGTCACAGCCGTGCGCGGCAGCTGCAGCCATTACAGATCGGCCCTGTAAAATGAGCAACGGGCTCAGAGTACCTTCTGGAATAAGTGCAGAGCACTACAGCTCAGCAAAAAAAAAAAAAAAAAAAAAAAAAAAAAAAAAAAATGCTTATATGCAACAAAAGCAATACTTGCACCATCGCCTCACAGCAAGAAGGTCCTGCATTAGAATCTACAGTGGGGGTCTTTCTGCATGGAGTTTGCTTGTCCTTACCAAGTCTGTGTGGTTTCACTCCGACTCCCTCCCAGAGCCCCAAAAACATGCACGGTGTTCGGTTAACTGGTGATTCTAAAGATGTCAATGTGAGCATGAACGGTCGTCTACATGTTGGCCCTGTGACATTGAAAACAGATAGATGGGTACATACATGGGCGACCGTGGCTCAGGGGGTTGGGAATCGCATCTGTAACCGGAAGGTTGCCGGTTCGATCCCTGGGCTCTCTGTCCTGGTCGTTGTGTCCTTGGGCAAGACACTTTACCCTGCTTGCCTACTGGTGTTGGCCAGAGGGGCCGATGGCGCGATATGGCAGCCTCGCTTCTGTCAGTCTGCCCCAGGGCAGCTGTGGCTACAACTGTAGCTGCCTCCACCAGTGTGTGAATGTGAGAGTGAATGAATAGTGGTATTGTAAAGCGCTTTGGGTGCCTTGAAAAGCGCTATATCAATCCAATCCATTATTATTATTATTATTATTACAGGCTTAAAAATCATTTAAAAATGGCTTCATTCTCATGCTTTAGTCAAGCTCAACTGGATGAACTCCAACAGGCTTCTGCACACAAGCCTTCATCAGGGAGTTTCATATTTCACAAAAACAATGAGCCTTTTCTGCTCGCCCTCGGCTAAAATGCAACATGTGGTGAGAGGAACGCACCATCACTGATGCAGTGTCCACAAAGCAGCAGTCCACGTTATTCAAACTTAAGTCTATGTTCCATAAGCAAGAAACCACAGTGCCAGTTACAAATAATATGAATACATCTCAAACAAGATGTATTAAATGTTCAAATAAATATGAGCAAATATCAACTGAGGATCCTGCATCAGGATGATGTTAAAACAAAATCCTATGAATCTTTTAATTCTTGCTCTTTGTAATTAAAATTAAATGGGACTCTTTCACAGCAGCTGGTTAGTGCTACAGCAAGGGTTAATTTAAGCGATGGAAACAGGATGTGGAGGAGGGGGAAAAATAAATCTAGAAATGAAGTAAAACACAAATAATAACAATCAATTGCACATGTGCGATTTCTCCTTACAGCGACGTTTCGGATCTGCACACTTCCCAGGTTCCCCAGCTGCCGGTTCAGTGCTCTGAACACCTCAGTCTTCTCCTCCGGGAACTGAGGAACCAGCTTCTCCAAGACAGAATGAAGCTCAGACAAACTGCAGCCCGCTCCCACCCAAACGCCTGCAGAGAGGAAGCACATTAACCAACTTTATCTTTCCTTTAAATACCTCTTGCACACCCTAAAATAAACTCATTGCCTGTGCATGAACACCAACAGAGGGCTGGAGCCTCAGCTGAAGGTGTAGGTTACCCACCCTGTGGCGTCTGAGAGACCTCGAACAGCCCCTTCACTCTGGTTGGAGAGATGATCAGCGGATGTAGGATGCCTTTGAACTTCATGTCTGGACCTTCAGCACAAAGCAAATACAGCGGGTTAAAACGATACACTTTATAAAAGCAGGAGTCTAACCAGTAATTGATCTTGTTTAGAAACCTGAATTTGATCAAATAATGACAAAGAAAAATCTTTTCTCCATTTCCACTCTTTAAATCATGTTAGAAACACCTCAGAGGGTGTTTTCTGCTGACCTATGTTGGTGTTGCCCATGACCAGGGGAGCTTTGGGATGTTTGGCCTTGAGCTGGATCAGCTCCTCCAGAGAAACCGGAGACACCCAGGTGACCCTCTCCCCATGAAAGGTGAGTGTTTGAGGGCTCGTTGTATCTGCCATCAGCTGTAGTGAAAAGGGACATTACTGTAGCATCAATAGTTTAACTGGAGCTTTAGATACTCCTGCACCAAACCAGGATGTAAGTGTGAATTTTAAAGACCTTCCTCGTGTTGCCTTTGATGACTTACAATCAGCTCTGGAGGGAAGATCAGCTCCTGTGTTGGATCCAATGGCAGAAGATCCAGTTTGTCAAAGAGCTGAGGCTTTTCCTGCAGACAAGAAAACAGAAAGAAATAAACCCGGATTAACCCCCGTGTGCCCTCATGCACCCCTGACAACCTCAGCATGCTCCCAAAGAGACTGTGGTGGCTCAGGAACAATCTGTTCCAACTTCTGCAATCAGGCAGAAGGTTCCGCACCATCCAGGCAAGGACAAAGACTCAAGAGGAGCTTCTATCCCCAAGTCATGCGGGTCCTAAACCAGAACGTACAGCATTTTTACTTCATGTATATAATGTTCTCTCCCTTTTTGCACAGCGTGTCGTGATACATTTCACTGCATGCTTTGTCACATGTATAACTATGCATGTGCCAAAGAATCTTGAATCTCCTCTGAAACCTAGGCAAGGCCATCACTGAACTCCTGAATTGTCTGTGGCTCCACGTGGCAGTGTTTGAGGCACTGACTCATTAAGTCTCTGAGGTTCTCACGTGGCTTTTGGTCTGAGGAACGTGAAGGCCAATCAATGCTTCGTCCAGGAGCTGCCTACACACTCTGGCCACACAAAGCCGGGCTTTGTCCTGTACTCTGATGAATCAGGGTCCCCTCAGCATAAAGATGGACACTGATGTCCTTGAAGTTTAACTGACTGTTACACTGTTGATCAGGTGTTCAAGAGCAGTGCATAAAAAGAACAGCAACACCAAAGCTAATGGCTTGATTGAGCAGTTAAAGGTCAGAAGAATGTGCTTCATTAAAAGCAGCAGCAGTAAAGAGAGGAAAACAAGAGAACCCCCCCCCAAAAAAACAAACAAACAAACAAACCAAACAAACCAAAAAACTCAGGTTCACCTGCTCAGGTTCATCACCATTTTTCTCTCCATTGAGGCAGCAGTTTGCAGCACCATTGGCTTGGCAGCAGTTGGCTTCCTGTTGACATCAACGTATCAATTTGTTTATACTCGTGTTCTCACATTTCTCTCTTTTTATATAAATGTGAAAAAAATTGCCTAAATTAGAGTGTACCTGACAGAAAGTCCTGCAGCCTTCCACAATGGGTCGATATCCGGTACACCGACACAGATTACCTGAAGAAACGCCACAGTGAGTTCATTTTACTTCGATGATAAATGTCATCAAAACATATCAAAGTTTCCCCAACAAGAAGCCGTGAATTATAAAAACACGTGCGACTCCAGCTACTCTTTGCAACCTGGCTTTGTTCACTACCTGCAGATCACACATGAGGGTAGGAACATACATCAACTACAAGGCAGGCTCTCATGCAATTTTCCCACCCTCTCTCATATTACTGTATAAAACATTTTCCCTAACTGTGATGTCCAAGTGAGGTCTGACACAGATTTTCACCACAAGTTTTTAAGAGTAACTAGTTTGCTGTCCAGGCATGAAGCCGAAATGCCACGTTCACGGAGAGGAGAGGGCCTCAAGAACACCTGCAGATGCAACTCAAGACTTAACCCTTTAAGGCCCACCATAGAACCAAGTCCGCCAGAGCTCACTTTTTTATTTTTATTTTTTTTAAATAAACACACTGTAGTGTTTTTGGGAGCATTTCAAGTTGCTATACATCAATACAACCGTTATATCCCAAATTTCAAAAATATGTATGTATTAAGTCCATAGTAACTACATAAATTGCAAAAAAGTGCAATAAACTACAAAAAATAAATTGAGAATCATCTTTGTTTTATTTTGTTTGTTTTTCTACATATTTCTAGTTAGAGAAATTTCAGAGGTCTATCCCTCAAAACTGTAAATGCAAAAAGTTGCACAAAATAGTTTCCAACCACAGGAATTTATTTTGAGTGTTTTCATAGTTTCATTTTTGAGATACACCAATTTTTATATACTCCAGGAAAATAATTATTATAATGCAAATTTGCAAAAAAACCAAAAACAAAACCGCATGTGCATCAAAATAAACCATTTCCAGCAGTGCAATTTGAGTTCTAAGCATCCCAGGAACCATAGAGAAAGGCATAAAGTCAAACATGACTTTTATAAACAACAATAAATCTTATTAAATTATGTTTCCCATGAAAATGACGTCACTTCTGGTTTTGGCAGTCGATGGCGGACATGTGATAGTTCGCGCTAACATTTACTCCAGCATAGGAAGTGTTCTGAACAGCTGATCGGATCGGCAAAGCGTGTTTCTGGAATATTATGTTTTTGTTGCTGCAAGTGCTTTTTATGCGATTTTTTGCAAAGCTATATGTGGAAGGAAATGACCTAGCGCAAGCTGAATGCATGAGATGCAAGTCCTCCGGTTTTATGCAAAAAAAAGAAAAAGAAAAAAGAAAAAAAATTATTCCGCTAGCTTATGTGGTTGCAATTCTACCGGGATTGAAAATAGTTATGCAAAACGGAGCGTGCCCGCTTCGGCCTTTAATTAATCATCTTCAAATGTTTTTAAAAATAAATAAGCTTTACACAAAAAGTATTTGCGCAGGGATAGCAGCCTGGCACCTCCTCCTCATGCTGGTCACACACTAATGTGGGATGGCGTCCCATTCTCCAACCAGCATTTGTCAAAAGTCAGCTCAGGGCTCGCAAAATCGCTAGCCCGACGTCCCGGGGCTAGCGATTTTTCCAGTCGGGCTACCAAAATCTATCTCTGCCCTGCCCTTTTGGCCTATCGTAGGAAGGAAAAATATATGTCAATGCTTTTGCATTCTTTCAGAAATGTAGCTGCGTAATTATGTCATTGGCATCGGTGAGCCACTGTCAATATGTGACATATTGAAATCGCGTTTGAATTTGCGCTTGTTTTTTTGCTTTCACTTTGCAATCGCGCGAACTGTGTATAGAGAGCGACAGCACTGATCTGTGAGTGATGATAATTTGTGCACCAATTCCTCTGACATCGTCTTATCAATCGTTAGCTTACTATGCAAACAAGACAAGTGAAATCTCCCGCAGCTTAAACATGTGAGAGGTTGATCGCGCAGAGAAACGCTGAGCTTATGCGAGTGCGGGTGTAAAAGCAGCAGGATATATATTTTAGTTCTGCTGAGCCAAATAAGACAGGTCAGGGTGAAGAAGTGACAGCCAAATAAAAGCTTACCACCAAACGGAAAAGTTATGACAAATCAGACTATAAGGCAAAAAGAAAGTGCAGCTTTATGGTTTCATGGACAAAAGAATTTCTGTGGCTGCAATATGATGAGCTAAATAACCAGGGCTGCACATAAGTGGTCCGCAGGTGCGCATTCGCTGTCAAAATAAAAAACGCGCAGTTGCAACGCGTGTTTGCGTACATAAGATTTTCTGGAGGAGGACAGACATTTGTTTAGAACTCTTAAAGATGTCGAAGAAGCTCCTTTAAGCAATTACTGTGATGTTCCTCCACCTCCAAAGAAATGTCAGAAGGAGTCCGAACCACAAAAGAAGCACATATTGCTCAGTCTGCAATACTGAGCAGTAATTGCAAATTACATACTTAAAATAAACCTGAAAATCAGTTTAAAACAGCGTACTATGTTGCAAAGAGTGAACTACCACTGGCACAATTTAGCAGTCTTTGCAAACTTCAAAAAGCAAATGGCCTCGATCTTGGTTCCACTTGCCTCTTACCTGTGACTTCAGTGGAAATTTCGAATTCAGGATCTGACACAGAGTGATTCATGTCCTATACAGTTCTTACTAGGGCTGGGCGATATGGCCTAAAATCAATATCACGATAAATTGATCAGTTGTCCATTTATCATTATCGAGGTTGATAACCACCCCAAGTGCCAAAAAACAAACATTTTTTTTTCCATTTGATGGGGCTGTGGCAGGCAGCATAGTTCCTCCAGTTATTTTGATAATATTATTCCCCCTAGACCTATTCATTGCAATTATATTATTACCACTTTAAAGGACTGTAAAATGTCACTGAAAATAAATGACAATAGTAGCAAGTACTTTTAGTGGTTAAGATTTATTAACTGAACAAAATAAAAAGTGTAGGATACAATATGTAACCATGCTCTCTAAAAAAAAATGTGTATCCCTTGTAAACAAAATAGTTTAATAATAAATATGTTTCACATTGGCTATTCACAAAGTAAACAATGATTGTGCAAATGTAATGCCATCATGGACAAAGGCCTCTCTGCTAAGGCCTTGAGGTACTATAACTTGTAAACAAATAATGTCACAAACACAAATGTCAATTGAACACAGAAAAAACTATAATAAATACTAAACACTGCCATGTGACTAGTGAAAACTATAAACTCTTAAACAAAAACATTAAATAGTGCTGTTTGCAAAAAACTTCAATAGAACACTGATAGTTAAAATTAGGCAGGGCTTGAACAGGGCACTTCAACAAGGGGCAGCAGCAGACTTGGTATCCTGAGCGGTTCAGTCAAACTACTGTTGTAGATGTTTACCTGAGTAGTGTTTACTCCAGGTTCTTGCTAAGAAACACAAGCATATTGACCATGTCAGGTTTCAGGCAGGATCTGAGGCATGTCACAATGTTTCCTCCAGAACTGAAAAGCCGCTTGACAGCTTTCACAATATTTGGGCCGTTGTCAGTTGTTATAGCAACAAGGTCCTCTTCACTGATGTTCCATGCAGACAGCATCGCTCTCAACCCCTGTCCAACCATCTCCCCCGTGTGATCAGATGGAAAATAGGCCGTCTCGAGCACTCTGGTACGCAGCTCTCATTTGTTGTCGATGTAATGAACTGTGAGACTAATATACGGCTCCATTGCACGGCTGGACCAGAGATCGGATGTGGCTGCAACGTGCTTAACGTATCTCAATTCAGCAGCAACCTTTTCCCTCTCTGTGCTGTACATGCTGGGAATGATAGTTTTTGAAAAATATTTTCGTGATGGGAGTTTATGAAAATAATTGACAAGAGATATGAAGTGTCTGAACCCGTTGCGTTCCACTGTAGCAATAGGAGCCATGTCTTTTGCTATGCGGTAGCCTATAGCATTTGTGATTTCTTGCCATCTTTTTGAAGTTCGCTCATATAGTTGAGTACTAGCAAATGCTTCGGTTATTGACCGCTGCCTGGTGGAGGAAGACGTTTTTGCTGGTCCTCCTACTCTCTTCGAGCTTTTTTTATGTCTTCGAATTGAATCACATGGTTGTGCTGCATGGCGGAAGAGGTTGGTTGTGTTACCTTGACTTGACGCAACAGTCTTTTTGCAGAGTTTACATTTAACAATTTTTTTGATCAATATCATCCTTGTTGAATCCAAAATGTTGCCAAACGATTGATGATGCATTTTTTTGTTAACAAGCATCTCCTCTTCCTCCTCCACCAGCTCTACCTCCGTCGCTGCTGCTTCAACATTTAAATCGTCCTCCATTTGTTCACCCGTGTCTCGTCTTGTTACAGGTAGTAGAGTCATGTGACCCTACCCCGTCAAGTCTGTAATGTAGCACAGCGTCTTAAAGGGACATGAACATCGCCAACCTGCACATGCCTTTTCTTTTTTTTTTTTAAATACCGAATTTACCGACATGGGCAAAATGACGTCGATGAGAGTCATAAATTTCGGTAACGATAAATTTTTGATATATCGCCCAGCCCTAGTTCTTACAAGTTCATAGAAATTTCTGTTCAATCAGAACCAAGTATTTGAGTTGATGATTGTAATTTTTATACAATGTTGTAATTTGCATTTCAACAATTTTTTGATTAATGTTTTGTTTCCTTTACAATATTATACATTAAAGTACAATATTGTAAAGGAAACAAAACAGGAAACAAATCAATCAAAAAAATTGCTCTTTTTTTTTTAATTCAGGCTACTTAAATTTATTTTGGGCTACCAAAAACTGAAGAGTCCCTGCCTGAAGGGCTACCAGGGATTTTGAAATTTTGCGAGCCCTGCAGCTAGTGTGACCGAGTTAGTTATAAATAAACTTGACCTGCCAGCCAACACGCCTTACCTGACTCCTACAGTCTGGACATTTCTGTACTACAAATCTTTTTTTATTCATCTCAATAAATATTCCCATAATTAATACTGGATTTCTGATTTTCATTAACTACAAGCCATAACCTTCAAAATTCAAAAGAGCCCCCAAGAAAAAAGTAGAATATCTGAATGCTTTTAAGTCAGAGTGGTTACTCTCCTAAAAAAGTACTGTGTGTTCAGCTGATTGGAGAGAGTGACTGTACCATTTACTGACAGGAAGGACAAAAGTTGGGCAACACAACTATTCACCGTTACATGTGACAAACTATGACAGCAGAAAAACAAACAACTCAAATGAGAGTGAACACACCAGCCAGAGCCTGGGTGATGTCGTCCATGGTGGGCTGCGGTTTGTTCCTCAGCAGAGCGTACGTGGACATCACCATCCCCGGAGTGCAGAAGCCACACTGGGAGCCGTGAGCCTTGGCTATTCGCTCCTGGAAGGACATAACCACAAACCTAACAGTTTATCTTGTGTTTGCAGTTGTTTTTTCCCCCCCACTTGGTTTACAGTTTGTTTGCATGTAAATAAAGTTGGCCATTAAAATGTAATCACAGAATTAGCCAAACAACTCATCAGGAGGAATGTTTTGGAATAAAAGCGAACTTTCCAAATAAACGTAGATGACATAAATAACAGGGGTGTCCCTGGAACTGACCTGCACCGGGTGGATCCTGGTCTTGGTGCTGCCAATGCCCTCCACTGTGGTGACTGCGGCTCCGTGGAGCTGACAGAGCGGCAGCAGGCAGGCGTTGGCTGAGTAATGGCTGATGGTACAAGTAAAGGTGACTTAAGGCAAGTATTAGCAGATTAAGCAGTAATACCACTAAAACAACACTACATGCACCTGTACTGTTTTCTAAAGCTTCTTCTCTACAACTATCTCCACAAAGAAAAGACCTGCACAGAACACCCGAACTAGGGCTGCTCGATTATGGCAAAAATGATAATCACGATTATTTTCACTGAAATTGAGATCTCGATTATTTGACGTTTATTTAACCCTTTAAGACCTACTATAGAACCAAGTCCACCAGAGCTTATATTATTTTTTTACATGCTGTAGTGCCATTTGTGGGAGCATTTCAAGTTGCTATACATCAATACAACTGTTATAGCCCATATTTTAATAATATATATGCATTAAGTCCATAGTAACTACATTAATTGCAAAAAAGTGCAATAAACTAAAAATAAAAAAATAAAAAATAAAAAAAATCATTTGTTTTTTTACATATATTTCTACTTGGAGAAATTTAAGAGGCTTGTCCCTCAAAACTTTAAATAAAAAAAAAAAATAGTTGCAAAAAATAGTTTACAACAGGAAATTTATTTTGAGTGTCTTCATAATTTTATTTTGGAGATACACCAATTTTTATATACTGCAGGAAAAACAAAAAAACAATCCTATGATGCAAATAAAACAGCATGTGCATCAAAATAAACTATTTAAAGCAGTGCAATTCGAGTTCTAAGCATCCCAGAAACAATTCAGAAAAGTCAAACATGACTTATAAAAGCACCAGTATAGGCTTTTAAGGCCTGCAAGTAAAATAAAAAAAACACCAAAAACTTCATTTTCCGCGAAAATGACATCACTTCCCGTTTCGGGCAGGAAATGACGTACATGCGATAGTTCGCGTTGACGTCTTGTTCAATGTGGGAAGTGTTACGAACAGCTGATCGGATCGGCAAAGCGTGTTTCTGGAATATTAGGTTTTTGTTCCTGCAAGCGCTTTTTATGCAATTTTTGCAAAGCTATATGTGGAAGGAAACCGTGACAGAGGACAAGCTGATGGCATCAGATGTAAGTACAACTCCTCTGGTTTCATATGCAAAAAAAATTATTGCGCTAGCTTACACGGTTCAGGTTCTACAGGGATTTAAAAATAGTTACGCAAAACGGAGTGTGCCGCTCTGACCGGCTTTAAAGGGTTAACAATAACAATGTATTGAATAATGACATTAAAAATAATATAAAATAGTGTGCAAATACTGATAACAGTGCAAATGTTTGCAATATAAAAAAATAAATGAAAAATGTAAACATCTATGTTTAGTGAACTTTGCAGTGTTGCTCTGTGGTGCAGCTACGACACCGTAGCAAAGTTTACACACTGTGTCTACTTGATCCACGTCTGACTCCGCCAACCCATAATGTTTCCACACCACTGAAGGGTTTTTTTTTTTTTTTTTTTTTTTTACCTCTTTTCAACCAACGGCAGTCACTCCTCTCCAAATAAATTCTGCTTCCTCGGTCCTCTTAATTGTTGTGACGTGTGTTCGAAATGCAGAGAGGTGCGCTCGATTTGCCACACAGAGCAGCGCGAGAGTAAAGCACGAGGGAGGTGCTAATAATCGGCTCAGTCATTTTTAATGATCGTTGAAAGCCCAGATCGTAATCGTGATTAAAATTCGATTAATTGAGCAGCCCTAACCCGAACCCACATCTTCAGGACAAACCAAATGTTACTGTCAACATCCCAACTGTGCATCCACAGGGAGGGGCTTCATCTGTTACAGTGCACACAGCTACTGTTAGACCTACTAGCAGTAAGTACAGCACCTTTTATTTTAAAGTGATGCAATGTGGACCAGTATTACCAGTGTTTCCACTCTGCCTGCTATCGTCTCAGCACCACCTGCACTAGTCACAGGAAAATATATTATAGTTTGTGATACTAAGTATAAACATAGCTGAGCCAAGTTCCAGCTAAACTAACTTTTGGATCCAAAACCGGAGCCAGAGCTGGTGGAAGGATTCTTTGACAGCTAGGACATGTTGTGAAACAAAACAAGCAGGGTGAAACGTTCAAGAATATAACCCCAAACTAATCCAGAGATTCTACTGGATGCAGGAACAGCCCTCGTGCGTGCCACGAAGGGAATTTTTCAGCCACAGTGAAGATAATGTGCGCAAGTAAAATACCAAAATGATACTCACCATGTCTGTTTTTTTTTTTAAAGATCTGGGCCCGTATCCCTAAAGATTCTGAGAATCCTCTCAGAGAGCTCCTAACTTAACCTAAAAATTCCTTGCCAGGAGTTTTAGCTTAGAAGTGATTCCAGAACATTTTCAGTGAACTCTGAGCAAGGAATGGATGGAAAATCCTATCTTAGTGAGGAGGTGTGGTTGACCCCGTTGCTAGGTATGAGTCATCATTTCAAAAGCCGTGATTGGTTGATCCTACAAGTTTGATGGAAATAAGCTTTTGGTGATAATGAGCAAAGGATGTACCCTCAAATCAATAAACATATTATACACTCTAATCTTATGCTGACTGTAATTGTAAATAATATTTCACATTCAAGAAAATATCTGGAAAATGAATAGTAAGCTGTAGGGGTTATAGCCATTAGAATCCAAAATATGTGAAAACTTAAAGTCATTACACCCTGTTCAAATAATGATTCGTGTCTTATTTGCTCATATTAATATCCTAGCTGGCATATTTTGTACTTTCACTCCCATATGGACCCCGTTGAAAACAAGATTGCCTATCTCAAGAGGCTGTCCTTAATGAAGTAGAAATCACAACGTTACAAGTCCAGTGTGGTCTTAACGAGGGTAACACGGCTCAGCTTTTAGCAATGTCTGTGATTGCAGACCCAAGTCATCACTGCTGCATTGTTGCATTTTCCCGGTTGCCAAATACCTCAGGGGTTGTGATTACTTTCGTCTCCGGTGTAATAGCGTTGTGGCGTCGAGTTGGTGAAGTAATTGCATCTCTAAGGAGATCCACCACAAACATGATTCCTGCACGATCCAATCTGTAGCATCTCAATAATTCCCTGTCATCCAGTGTTTGCAGGACATCTCTCCTGCCTCTTCTGTTGGCCATTTTGTGCAGCTGCTTAGGGGAACTCCTAAGCCACTAAAAGTCCTCTTCCCTGCTCTTAGCAGATCTCGCCTTAGGAGCCCTTTTAAGCGCTAGGAATCTTGAGGAATAGCTTTTATATTAACTGGGATTGTCGTGTCACTTTTAGGGGAAATTCTAAGAAAACGTCATGACTCTGAGAATTTTCTTAGAATTTGGCCGCTAGGAGCCACTTTTTGCACAAAGATTCTTTAGGGATACGGGCCCTGGTGTGGTGCAACTCCAGGCCTCAAAGGCCGCTGTCCTGCAGGTTTTAGACGCGTCCTTGATCCAACAGAGCTGATTCAAATGGCTAAATTACCTCCTCAACATGTCTCGAAGTTTTCCAGAAGCTGGTAATGAACTAATCATTTGATTCAGGTGTGTTGACTCAGGGCGATACCTAAAACCTATAGGACACCGACCCTTGAGGCCTGGAGCTCCCCAGCACTGCTTTAGACCGTGTAATAAGGCTGATTGTGGCAAAAAAAAAAAAAAAAAAAAAAAAAAAAACCCCTAAACCTGACAGCTTTAAACTGTTCGGTGGTTTTGTCCTTCATTTTTAAAATCTCTGTTCAACATCGTTTCAGATTCCTCTCAGTGTGTGTCCCATTATCGCCTCCTCAGCTACAGGAAGGTGAATGAGTCAAACAGACTGTATTGTTTCATTGTCAGGGAGGGAAGTGACCATTAGCCAACAAGTTCAGTGTGGTCATCCATACCAGGCTTGCTCATTACAAGCCAACACTTACACTCTCTCCTGTTTTCTGCAAATCTAATTTCACTTAAAGAGGCTGAGAGACCAAACAAATTGATTTTTCCAGTCCTAAGGCTGACGTTGTGCCCAAGTGAAACATACACTGACAGCAGCAGATGTTCAACTGCACTGGCATCTTTTAGCTGCTCACATATTAATCATAAACAGTGTGAAGTTGGTTGACAGCACAGAACTCACACTTTTTCCCCCCTCGATTATATATTTATGGACTCTTCTACAGTGGCATGATTCATAGTTCATGTATTTGATACTGGCGCATTAAGGAGTCCTTCAGTTCTTCCCCTGAAACAAGCCATTTAAACCCCTGTCTCTATGCGACCCTAAAAGGTCTAAAAACACTGAAAGCCAATGTGCAGATTAAAAAGTAGGAAAAAACTTGAGTATTTAGAGCAGTCTGAATCTTAAAGTTCATCTTAAACTTTGATATTTGCATTAAATATGCACAGACAGCCACAAAATGACCAAAAATGGGGAAAAAAAAAAACAAAAACAAAAAACCCCCAGCAGTATCAGGTGGTGTGACGTCATAAAGGATACATGATGGATTTCGTTGCAGGTTGGTAGCGCGACACCATAACTGTGCACGCTCCACAGCCTCCTCCGCCGCAGCCGTACTTGGTTCCAGTTAATTTCACTGAAGTCAACAGTCAAGGATAAAGACAAGTCCACCGAATGCTTACAACTAAGGTATTAACTAGGGCTGTCAGCATTAACACGGTCATCACGATTAAATTTTTTTTTTTTTTTTTTTTTTTTTTTTTTTTTTTTAAACACACTCGACCCATCTGGAGCACAGAACGGACAAACTGCCTGAAATGCGTTGACAGACATTTCAGGGATTTTGAGTCAGTCTGCGCTCCAGATGGGTTAATTGTTAATCGCGTTAGTTGTGATGACAGCATTAACGCGTTTAAACCGCATTAACGCATTAATGCCGAGTAACCCTTACACGGGCCCAATCTGCATTAACGCAGATTAGCCTGTTTTAACGCAGCTGACAGCACCAGTATTAACATTTAAACAGCGAAGGTGAACTGAAAACTGGTCTGAAGGATACTCTTCTGCCTGAGGAAGGGCAACAGCATCGTCTCCGGGTCGGCATGGTTCTCAGTCACCTGTTTTAACAGGACCAAAGAAAATTAGTTCTAACATCTGCATTTATTTTGCTTATACAGTGCTGGGCAAAAGTCTTGAGCCAGCCCTCATTTCTTTATACTTTGTCACCAAGCAGCCAGACTATCCTGTAATACTTTAAAGCACTCTTGATCAATATTTCTCCTGGCTCTCTAAAGGTCTTTCAAAGCTTTTCTTTGGACACTGACCGCTTTTTCACTCTACCTACTCCCAGTATGTTCTTTTGGTTGTTAAGCCACTTAACACCAGCCTACAAGTCATTCAAGCATTTAAAAAAATAAATAAAATAAAACCCCACCAGAACCAAGACAATATGGCACCAGGAGAACACACCGAATCGTTTCTAAAATCTCCACTGGTAAGACTTCATAATCTGTGTGATTTGAATATTTTATTAACCATGTTCAAAGTCACATGTGGATCACTGCCTGCTATCTAAGTGATAGTTAAGAGATAGAAAACTCCATTTGTGTCGGACGAGAGGAGACAAAGGGCAGTTGTTGCTTGTTTCTGATCAGAAACAAGCAACAAGTGAGGGCACGTAATCGGCACATCTGCCTGTGGAAGACGTGACGAGGTACGTCAAGCACTAAACAGATTGTGTGTTGAATGTACAGCACGTTTCTTCTGCTGCCTACAGCTTAGATGACGGTCAGTTTAATGTTAGAGTAGAGCTGGGCGATATAAGATTTTTTTCATATCGCGATATGTTTTTTTTTCGATAACGATATATATCACGATATAAGCCAAATAACTATACATGTAAGATTTAAATGTGCTGTTGCTCACAAGTACAATGTGAAATAATCAGCAGCTTGTTTTGATTTAAATATTTATTTCCCATAATAAGTTAAACAGGGCAGATGTACTTAAAATGAGGCTTCAGTTTAGGCAAAATAAAGGCAAATATTACAAACTACACAAAAGGTAGCCGCTAAAGCATTTAAGTTTCAAAATAGAACAAAACAGACTACTAAAGTGTCAGTTCCACTTAGAAATAAAATATTAATTCTAAAAATAAATCTTAGTTTATTTTACAGAAGAGACAAAATTGACTAACTTATATAATATTGCTTTGGAAGCGCTGTCTGAGAGAAATGTTTATGTCCAGGGAGTTGGTAACGAGGATCCAGTACCTTAATTAGCTGCTTGAATCCTTCCTTTTCGACCGTGTTTATTGGTATCATGTCTTTAGCAAGACAGTAAGCTATGGCATTCGTTATGTTGCTATGTCTCTTAGCTTTTATGTCATATTCAAGTGTCATTCAAGTGCGCATGCGCCAACCAGCGTGCAGCCTGTTACAGTCGCTCCTGCTTTTCTCTTAGTTTAGCTCTTTTTTCTTACGTATTCTTTTTTTTTCTGACTTGTATTTTCCTCCGTTTTCTATCTCTTACTCAATCATGTGGATTGAGAGAGTTTTTGTTCTTCTGGTGGCCGTGGAACTGTTACTTTTATCATGGAACGGGACCGCGGCACATCTCCTACACGCACGGACTGTTTACTCCAGAGATCAGCTGATCGCCCTGATGCCGGCCGGCTCGCTGGCCAGGCCCGCAGAAGTGCCCGCAGAAGTACCAGCTGAAATTTGGAGGAAAACACATCGGGGATGCAGAGGTCAAGGACAGAAGAGAAGAAAAAAGGTGACGGTGAGACAGCGGAGGCTCGAAGCGAGGAGGAGGTTTAAACCGTGTCTGCCGTCTATCGTGATGGGAAATGTGCGATCGTTGGCAAGTAAAATTGACGAGCTCTCAGCACTGGTACGGAGTCAGAGGGAATACCGAGAGTGTAGCCTGATGTGTTTCACCGAATCATGGCTGCACCAGGTCATTCCCGATGAGAATGCTTCCGTGGAAGGCTTCCACACTGTTCGGGCGGACAGGGACAGCATCGCTAGCGGTAAGCGTAAAGGAGGTGGGCTTGCTGTTTTAGTTAACAACCGGTGGTGTAACCCTGCCAACATAACAATCAAAGAAAGGATTTGTTGCCCGGACACTGAACTGTGTGCTGTTGGACTCAGGCCGTATTATTTACCCAGGGAATTCTCTCACGTCATCTTGGTGGCTGTTTATGTTCCCCCTCTGCTAACCCCACAGCTGCATGTGACACTATCCACTCTGCCATAGCTCGGCTACAGACTCAGCACCCGAGTGCCTTTATTGTGATCTCGGGTGACTTCAACCATGTATCACTGGACAATACACTACCAACATTCAAACAATATGTGGACTGTCCCACCAGGGGAGAGAAAACTTTAGACTTACTGTATGCTAACGTCAAGGATGCATACAGCTCCTCCTCCCTCCCCCCACTTGGTAGGTCAGATCATAACCTGATTCACCTCACCCCCCGCTATGTGCCAATTGTGAGGAGGGAACCTGTGACCACCAGGACTGTTAGGAGGTGGTCAGAGGAGGCAATAGCGGAACTACAGGGCTGTTTCGAGGTGACCGACTGGGAAACACTCTGTGAGCCTCACGCCGAGGACATCAATGGGCTTACTGAGTGTATCACAGACTACATAACTTTCTGCACCGACTCCATTGTTCCAGCTCACACTGTTCATTGTTACCCAAATAACAAGCCGTGGGTGACTAAGGACATCAAAGCCCTCCTCAACAAGAAGAAGAGGGCTTTCAGAGGGGGCAACAAAGAGGAGGTGAGGAAGGTCCAGGTGTTACTAAAGGACAAGATCAGAGAGGCTAAGGACAATTACAGGAGGAAGCTGGAGTGGAAACTCCAGCAGAACAGCATGAGAGAGGTGTGGAGGGGCATGAAGACCATCACTGGATTCAGGCCAACCAACAGCAGGGGAGCTGAGGGAGGTGAGAATAGAGCCGACGAGTTGAATCTGTTTTTCAATAGATTCGACACCACAGTGTCTGCTCCCACCCCCACAACCTCACCTGCAGTCAGCCTGGAATCCAGAGCCACACCACTGTGCCAGCCTCTCTCTTCACATGTTGCCTCCTGTGAGATTCCTGACACCCCTCCCCCACCCATCACCTTCACTCAATACCAGGTTGAGATGCAAATGAGGAGACTTCACTCAGGCAAGTCTGCTGGACCAGACGGAGTGAGTCCCCTTGTCCTCAAGGCCTGTGCCCCCCAGCTGTGTGGAGTCTTTCATAAACTGTTTATGCTGAGTCTGAGTCTGCAGAGGGTCCCGGTGATGTGGAAGACATCATGCCTCGTCCCTGTACCAAAGACGCCTCGTCCCAGTGGCCCCCAGGATTACAGGCCCGTGGCACTGACCTCCCACATCATGAAGACCCTGGAAAGGCTCATCCTGGACCAGCTGCGACCCATAGTAAGACCACATCTGGATCCCCTTCAGTTCGCTTATCAGCCTCGTCTCGGAACAGAGGACGCCATCATCTACCTGCTCAATCGTGTCTACACCCATCTGGACCAGCCGGCGAGCACTGTGAGGGTCATGTTTTTTGACTTTTCCAGTGCTTGCAACACCATCAGGCCGACCCTCCTGGGTGATAAGTTAGCAGCGATGCAGGTGGATGCTTCTCTGGTGTCCTGGATTGTTGATTACCTGACAGGAAGACCACAATATGTACGTCTCCCACAGTGTGTGTCTGACAAGGTGATTAGCAACACAGGGGCACCACAGGGGACTGTCCTCTCCCCCTTCCTCTTCACCCTCTACACCACAGACTTCAGCCACTGCACAGAGACATGCCATCTTCAGAAGTTTTCTGATGACTCTGCGGTGGTTGGATGCATCAGCAGGGATGATGAGACAGAGTACCGGGCTGTGGTCGACTCCTTTGTCACGTGGTGTGAGCAGAATCATCTGCAGCTCAACGTGGCAAAGACCAAGGAACTGATCGTGGACTTCAGGAAGACCAGGAAACACTTGACCCCTGTTTCAATCCAGGGGGTCAGTGTTGACATTGTGGAGGACTATAAATACCTTGGAGTACACATTGACAATAAACTGGACTGGGCTAAAAACACCACAGCACTTTACAGGAAGGGCCAGAGTCGTCTCTATTTTTTGAGGCGACTGAGGTCCTTCAACATCTGCCAGAAAATGCTGAGGATTTTCTATGAGTCTGTGGTGGCCAGTGCGATCCTCTATGCTGTTGCATGCTGGGGGAGCAGGCTGAGGGTCGCAGATGCCAACAGACTTAATAAACTGATCCGTAAGGCCAGCAATGTTGTGGGGATGGAGCTGGACTCCCTCAAGGTGGTGTCGGAGAGGCGGATGCTGTCCAAGATAAAGACAATGTTGGATAACACCTCCCACCCACTCCATGACATGTTGGTCAGTCACAGGAGCTCGTTCAGTGAGAGACTGAGATTACCGAAAAGCACCACTGAACGACACAGGAAATCATTCCTGCCTGTGGCCATCTCCCTGTACAACGCATCCACTTAACACACTGTTTGCTGCTACAGCTACACATGTTTCTTTTCCAACTATTTATTTATAAGTGACTTATGTATGTATGTATGTATGTATGTATATGTATATATTGTACTATTCTTAGTTAGCGTATTGTCTGTCTTGTCTTAATGTTGGTTTAAAATGGAGCACTGTAACAAAAAATAATTTCCCCCAGGGATCAATAAAGTATTCTGATTCTGATTCTGATATGGTAAGACGCTGGAGAAAGCCGACTCAATTGACTGTTGCTGCTTCGCAGGGATTCCCCTGGTTGTTTTCGATGACGAATTAGCGCTTTCAGTCAGAGATTGAGCGTGCTTTAGTGGGTGGCACTGCTTCAGGTGATAAAAAAGGTTTGTTGTATTTCCAGACTTTGTGGGAACATGCTTTTGGGACAATTTACAGTGCGCGTTACTCTTTTTGTCAGACTTCAAATAGCCGAAATACCTCCACACTACAGAACTTCTCTGGCCTTTCCTTTCGACAATCTCTCCGGCATTGGAACCGTCATCGGTGTTCTCTTTGGCAACCTGGTCACCCAAGCTCTCGGTTGATTTTTCCTCTAGTCGGCACACTCATTTCCTCCATTACCCGGCCGGCATGGCGGCTGGCTGCTTCCCAAACAAATACACATGTGCGGCTTGGCACTTGAGCTGTACGTAACAAGTTACGTGACGTGATGCTGCGGCTGTGATTGGTTTGGCTCTGCGCTACTTAATTTGTATTGGCTATTCATTTTTTTTTATAAGAGAGGAAGAGAGAGAGAGATGAGGTCTATCGCAATAGTTTCATTTTTCTATCGAGAAAAAGTTATTTCGCAATACATATCGTTCTGTCGCCCAGCTCTATGTTAGAGTTTTATCTCTAAGAAGAACAATAATATATAAGACAGGTGTAACATGGATGGAATCAGGGGCAACAGTAACTGTCAACTGCACCGATGACACTTTACTGTGAAAGTTTACATTTGACATTTAAATTAATGTGCATTTTTATGATTAAATAAAATTAATCACCAAGCTCCACTTGTTAAAAGTAGAATTAAAATCTAGTTATAGGCTAAACATTTAAGCTAACTTAGATATTTCTACAATTATCACTCAGTTGTTTGCTTTCGTTTTTGAGCTATAAGGGGTCAGCATGATGTATTTTACTGTCACATGACTTCTTGCATTAAAAGCATTATAATGTTGCCATCATTAGTGAAAAACTATTCAGATTATTCACTTTATTGTTAGTATACAAGCACAAGGAAATCCGCACCACTAATTTATGGGCAACCCAACAGCAGCTCAGAGAAGTTATAGTTTTGCAATTTCTAATTAGTTTTCTTTACTTTTTTGTTTCTTTTTGAGTGTTTAAAAAAAGAATTTCATTTCATTTGTCCAAAGTCTACTGTGAGGATGAGTGGGGTCAGAGGTCATGCTACGTGAACACTGAATGAAGCGTTTCAGGTGATGGCAGGCAGCTGGGTGCCAACAGTGCAGTCATCTGCTTTTACTACCTGCTGCAGAGCCCTTTGTTCAGGTGCAATACCACACTGGTGGTTACAATTAGGGCTGCCACAAACGATTATTTTGATAGTCGACTAGTCACAGATTATTTTTGCGAATTGGACGCACCAGCAGCATCTGCTCTTATATAACTATCATTAGCTTACAGCTTTAAGTGTTTAAGGTATGTGCTAACTAAAAAAAGACAAGATGATAGTTTATTAAATTTAATGAAATTTGCAGATTGTCTCGGTGAAGTTAATAAACTCTTGCTATCTAAAATATAACAGGACACCGAGTATATTCTCTAACATTTCACACTTCTGATAATCAGCTGTCTGCTTGACGTTTATTCAGCTGTGTAAAAACTATAACCTCAGCCAAACAGATTTACTCAGAACAATAAAATACTAAAAAAGCCAAACCATAACATTTTAAGTTATCTAAGTGAGATATATATATATATATATATATATATATATATATAATATATATATATATATATATATATATATATATTTTTATTTTTATTTATTTATTTATTTATCCTGAGCAGCGAAAGACAGCGGTGTGTTTGAAAACGATCTGCCGGGAGTCCGGTGTTCTCACAGGCTGTAGTGAGCCTTGCCCCCGGCTAGCTAACGACCTAGTGGGTAACAGACGTCTCTGAAAACGTCGGAGCGCTTTTGAAAATATGTGGTGTCTTGATAAACTGAGCAGATATTTGAGGTTTACACAGCTACATTCTCGCCTGAAAATATGTTAAACGTTTATTTTGTGACCCAGAAAGAATAATAAGAGTAATATTAAAACTAACTAGCTGCCGCCATTGTTGGAAACTGAGCTGGGCCACGCTATGAATTCTGGGACACAGCTTCTTCTTCGGGGTTTAACGGCAGCTGGCATCCTTTTATATGCAGTGCTGCCATCTTCTGTTTCAGTCCGTTATTACACTCTTAAATCCTACTACTTATTCCTGCCTCTTTTGTGATCTTACAAAGCTTCAAACGACGCCTCGACTATTAAATCAGTCGTCGACGATTTTGATAGTCAACGTAATCGTGACTAGTCGACTAATCGTGGCAGCCCTAGTTACAATAGAAGTCGGAGAGGTATTGACCTGTTACGACCTGTTCAGGAGGTGAATAGATTCAGGGACTTCTTTATCTTACAGGCGGTTTACAGAGACCTCGTCAGATCCTCAAGGATTTCCAAGCTTGTTACCTGCTCGACCTCAGCACCACTGATGAAGATGGCATCCTGTCCTGTCCACTTTTCTTGGACGTCCTGTAATCCACCATCAGAGTAAAGGTTGTTGGTAGAGCACCATGCCTTCTAATGTTGGATCTCCTCTCTGCAGGCCACCTCGTTACTTGCCAGTCGACCTACAACTGATGTTGGATGGGTGGATGTTGGGCACACGTGTCTAAATAAGAAGTGTGAACTGGACTTGACAACGTTGAAGAGCACCTGTGCTTTGGTTGCACATCCTTCCAGCTTGAGGTATGTTAGGGCGTTTTCAAACCTGTAGCTTGTTTACTCTGGTCCTAATCAGCTGACGAGTTTGTAAACTTGTAGCTTTTGGTTAATTTTTTCTCTGTGTGAAAACAAAAGTGACCTCCAAGCCAACCAAATTGCGTCACTACAAACCACGTGAGAACACCGAGTCCGCTCATTGGCCGGATGGTTTTGGGGCAGGAGCAACGAAAGTGAGAACAGGATGAAGGCGCTGTGTGAGAAAACTGAGGATTTACGTTCCTTTCACAGCTGGTTGCTAGCCCGTATAGACCTTTGCACATCTAAAGCACCTCCATGCATTGAGAATACAACGCATATGGGACGTTTTTAGCTCACATGTGTAATGTACACCTAACGATTACTGTGTTCACACCTGCATAAATACACTGCAAGAGGTGGAAAAACGACTTGACACCGCACGTGTGAAAGCACCCTGAGCCATAAAGTCCTGCACCGAAATCTCAGGATCTTGTTTTGAGGCCAAGATGGAGAAGTTTGAACGGTGTGGTACACAAAGAAACTGTCGCTCAGCGTGAGTCAGCCAGGTGTTTTCTCTTTGATTTGCAGAACTTGGCCTGCTTTCAGTTTTTTTAATGCCCATTTTGTTTCTCTTTTACAAACTCGTAAGAATATGCGCAGTCCTGTGTGTGCTTGCACTTATTCTGCACCTTACCTTTTCAGAACCAATATAGATGACAGCTTTCTAAGGTCTTCTTCTTCCTGCATTTTTGTTCACTTCGCAACATGTGTGAAGGTCATTACACCTCCAACTTGCAAACGTTTTACTTTAACTCACCTGTGCTTGTCTAAAAATGATATTAAGAGTTTTGCTAACAGCAGCGCGAGGTAAAAAGTCACCTCGGAAATTGCTAACTGTGCAGATTTTATCTGTCAGAAAACAAAACGGTCGCTATGATAACATTAAAAAAAACTCTAAACCTACCTTTTTCCCGTTGATAAAGAAGCACAGAGCGTCTCCTTGTTTTCCTGCAGACATCTTTCAAGTGCGTGACTAAAGACCGTGACGACGACTTTATCTCCAGGAGGTAGCTCAGTACCCCTTAGCGCTTCCGTCTGCCGACACTTTCAAAATAAGATGCTTTATTCTGGTTTCTTTGTGTAGCAACTCTCTCTTGGTACACTTCAAAGTGACGTGAAACCCAATTAATTAAACTTAATACAAATAAACTAAACTCAAATTAATTTGCATGTAATTACTTATGTTTACAATAGGACATAATAATTTTTTAGAAATAAAATTTCATCGTTTTGAGCTTTCTGGGTGTTTTGGTGAATTGCATAAGCAGTTGTGAAATTTTATTTAGTTTTTTTTCCTTTCTGGAAAACAAAAAAACATTTAAAAATAATAACTCAAAGCTTTAAAATGAAATAAGACTTGACTTCTATTCCCAAAAAGTGGTGTTTTTCTGACCCATCGAGTTTCAACTTGCAGGACTGACTTGTAACTCCCGAAGTATTCCTTAATTGTTAAGTTTCTTATTTTTTTATTTTTTTATTTTTTACTATGAGCACCTTTTAAACACTTTCTCTTGCACATCCAGAGATGAAACACATGAATGAAATCTGATGGAAAGTAAACAAGGCTGTAAATCAAATATTTTCTTAGGGTTGCCTTGGACTCTGGTCATAAAATGAGAAAGCAAAAAACTGTATCAGAATTGAGCATGAGTCCAACACCAAACTAATAAAACAATCTGATACACATATAGCAGATTTACAAAAAAAATCTTTATAGCCATACAGCAATGACTGACAGTGGCAAATAAACATCAGGTGATTCGTGACCTATCCTTGGCCCTTACATTTATTTCTGTTTTTGTTAATCATTTATAGATTGGTCTTTTTGCACAGTCATTCATTGCTGTTAATACATTGTCATCGTTTCTCAGGAGGAGCAGATAAGAGAGGGAAAAACCTAGTGTTAGGTAAAGAGCCACAAGAGGGCGCTAGAGGTAAGGAAAACATTTAAAGAAAAGCTGCAGAGGAAAATCAAACGTGGACAAGCGGAAAGAAGAAGGTGAGTAATGATTGTACAGACATGTTTCTTTTCTGTGCCACACTGCTTCATTTATGTCTTAAAAGTGCCTCTGAAATGATGATTTGGGTTTCAGGTGGGCTTATGGGCTTCTTTCAAAACTTAGTTTTTGTTTTATTCCCCTCTCATTTCTTTTCATGAACCAGAAACAGCAAGACCCCAAGTCTGGTGCACCAAGCTGTATTTGTTCAACCCAAACGTCAGTCTGTATACAAATGCTTCCTCGGGTAAAGTCCAGACTTTCGTACAACAGTTTCAGCTCTAACACTTCCCAGATAACTGGCTAGAAAAGTTGAATTAAAATCAACTTTGGCAGCAGACAGAGCAACAGTCCAGGAAGAAAAGATCTCAAGTAGGAGGTGGGGATGGCTCAGGACACCCTGAGAAAGCCGACATCCAGCAACACAAAACAGTCCCTGACCTCGAGCCCTTGGGACACACATCAGCATAACAGGGATAGGATGGGCGATAAAGGCAACTCAGGACTGAGAGTGCTGAGGGGCAGCTGCCGATAGCCTCCGCTCCAGGAGGGGCAAGAGGCCTAACAACGTGATGAGATGTTATACTAACACTACCAGCATCAGTCTGCTGTAGGATGTCACAAGTCTTTATATTGTGTTTTTACCACCCTGCTTGCTTGCTGTCAGGCAAAGTACACTCTAAGAAAGCTACAAAGGACGACCCTTACTAGAAAGCTATAAAACAGTTCCTGTATAAGTACCCATAGTGAGACAGAAACAAAGCCAGTGATACAACTATCATGCCTGTAATCACATATTTGAAAATTTCACTATCTGAAAATTTAATTATTTCCTTTTATTTCCTAAGAATATTTTTTTGTAGATGTGATATTGTCCCACATTTCCACTCCAAACGTCTCCATTAATGGTGTTAAGCTAACTCTAAGGTACAGTGCAAAAATAAATTTCTGTGCTCATAAAGGAGCGCCTCACCTCAGTCTGAGCGTGAGAAAGCTATCCCTGCCCCTGTTTGATCGCTCTTAGCTTATTTACTCAGCTTTCACTCCAGGTTTAGCATACACAGCTCTACCTTTTTCTCACTGACTCAAGTTTCCTGACTCATGACAACAGGTAGGCCTTCAGAAGACAAACCAAACATGTGTTACTTTACAGCCCGGCTTTTCCACTGAGCCCCTGATCGGTGTGAGCCGAGGCCAATTTCTGCTTTGTGACCTCCAGACCTGGTGGGTTAATGTGCATATTTTCCTCAGTCTTGCAAACTGTTTCCACAGTTGGACTTGAACACATTCCTCCTGAGTCTGTCGGTGGGATTTGGTTTATTTACACAAATCACAGCATGTGTAGTTGTAAGATTTACAGCTTCAGACGGAGCAGCCGAGCCAAAGGCGTTGGGGCACCACAACACAAACAGGCACGCCCTCACAGAGCTGAAATTCAGTTTCCATGCTCTTAACTGCAGTGGTGTACTCACTGTGGAAAGTGTTTTCTACAGATATTCAACCGATCAAAGACAAATAAATCCAACAGAAAGAAGACAAATGGCTTAAAAATGTTGAGTTAAAAAAAATTGTGTTAAATGAATTAAATAGTTAATACAAAATAATTAGCCAATAAAATACATTTTTTAAAAACCTAAATACAGAGTTAAAACAATGGTAATTAAGAACTTAAAGTGATGAATAAGTCATTGTAATAGGCGTAGTAGATTAAAGCCAGTTGGTAGATAAATAATATTTTTATTAAGGAGAAATGGTTACCGTCCTGTTGTCATTAAAGAATGACAAAAAATGAATCTCTGTTCAATAAAATCCTTTAGTTTTCACTTGATACACCAACCAAGGAATGCAGAAGGGCATCTCTGAAGGGCTATAGGTGGGCTATAGCAGCAGAAGACCACACCGGGTGGCTCAGGAGATGGAGCAGTTCATCTGCTAACACAGACTCTAGTTCTCAGATACTGAATCCAGAGCTGCGTTAATCGGTTAAATTAAAGTTAAAAGTGCTTAAACACAGACAAAGATGCTTGTATTAATGTGTGAATGAGACTTGTAGTAAGAAAATACTTTCAGTGCTCAACTAGAGTAGAAAAGCATAAGTACCACTCCATTTAAACAACAAACTGAGGCTGCGATTAACACAGAGTAACCAGAATGTAGGAAAAGTATTGTCTGGTCTCATTTTTACTACATCATTCAGATGGAAGGGTAACAATTTGGTGTAGACAACATGAATGCATGGCGCACTTTGAGCCAAACTGAGCATTGTTTAAGCACCACAGCCTGCCTGAGTATTGTTGTTGACCATGTTAATCCCTTTATGACCACAGTGTAGCATCTTGCTTCCAGCAGTATAACACACCGTGTCACAAAACTCAAAATCATCTCAAACTAGTTTCTTGAACATGACAATGAGTTCACTGTACTCAAACGGCCTCCACAGTCACCAGATCTCAATCCAACAAAGCACTTTTGGGACGTGGAGGAACCAGAGATTCACATCATGGATGTGCTGCTGACAAATTTGCAGCGACTGTAAAACTGTCATGTCAACATGGACCAAAATCTCTGAAGAATGTTTCCAGGACCTTGTTGAATCTGTGCCATTAGGAATTAAGACGGCTCTGAAGGCAAAAGGGAGTCCAACCCAGTACTAAGCAAGGTGCAACTAATGAAGTAGACGACATATAACATAGATACAAACTCTAAATAATTGATTTCTCAAACTAACTGGACAGGCCTGCATGTGAAAGTCAGGATTTGGAGCAGCATTATCTTCTTCATTTTGTTTTGTTGGCTGTCCAGTGAATGTACTCGTCTAGACCAAAGCTCTTTTTTTTTTTTTTTTTAGCTTTTACGGGAATTTGAGCCAAAAAACATTAAATGGCTCAAAGATAACCCCTACAGTTCTCACATTTTAAGGCTCATGCCACTTTTATTAAAAAGGCTCTTTCATTCAGGTATGAAAAGTTTTTAAGAAGATAAGTTTTGAAAGTTAATGGAAACAGCTCATACAAGTGGGCAGGGTTTTTTTTTTTGTTCTTCCAATTGTATACTGCTCGTACAAAGGCAGCATTGCAAGAAAGTGCTTCTGGTGCAAGAAGTTGTGCTGAAACAAAAAGAGACAGGCTAATTGGTCAGGCGTTTATGATCCAAATAATTAAAGGGAAGGAAATTAACATTTGGCTCCAGGAGCAGCACAACCAAACCACCGTGAAGCTGGTTAGTGATTTATTTTCAGAGTTTAGAAGGCATTTGTCTCTGTTAGTGGCACTAGGAAAATAGCAAAAAACATTAAAACATTACTGAGACAACCTGCGCTGACTTTTCTCTCTAATGAAATCTCCATTTTACACCCAAAATGCAATTATTAGGTTCACACCACAACTGAATCTTTTGTGGTTCCTTTAAAATAAAGACTTTTCTGTCATAAACTGATCCATCAAAGGTCCACACCGGTACATAAAGATCACCATAATTTAGAAAATGAATTGTGTGAAGTTCAAACTTATGTGGGTGAGGACCTCCTGCCTAATGTGTACCTTCAATTCTCAAACAAACCCTACATCATTTTAAATAAAGTGTTTATCTGTGAGTACTCTCTGATGTAAAAAACAAACCTAGACCTGCCATTCAGAACTTTTGGGGATTTTGTTTCCCATTCCCATCACATAAAGCTATTTAGGGTTACTGTCAGTTGACTATCTTCTCTCATCAGCTGAAAATAAACAAATCCCCAGTAGAAACGTTTTCTCCCATCCTCCTTTACTTCCTATTGCAGATCTGATTCCACTTCCTCAGCTCTCTATCACTCGGTTCATCTCCAGCTGAGGAAATCTGGCTTTTAGCCTCGCTGACCTCATATCACATGTCTCAGGAAGCTACTGCTGCTGGGTCAAAACCTAAAGTATAAACTTGCAGTTACAGTTTAGCTGGTAAACTCAAATTTGGCTGTGCTCATCGGCTCTGAGGTGTCATTATAGACTCTATGATATTTCAGTGGAAACGCTATCAAACAGGAAAGTGGG